ATTGATCTTAAGGGAAGGAGAAACCGGAGCCTTAGTTCATGTTAATGGGGACAGGGGCACTCCCCCCCCCATGCCCCCCCACCCCGCTGCGCCGCACCACACCCCAGCCTGCACTTACCCATGTGGTGGGGGCCTGGGTGGCCAGGAGGGTGTGGCCCCTGGTTCATGGGCGGGTGATGTGGCTGCATCCAGGGCGGGGGGCCATTGGGGTTGTGCTGCATGGGGTGCCCGCCGTGCCCACCCAGGCTAGGCATGGGGTGCGGGAAGTTGTGGGGCCCGCCTGGCCCCCCAGGCCCCCCGTGCATTCCGTGGTAGGGCCGGTTCTCCGAGGGGCCCGAGTTCATCCACAGGGGGCGGCTCTGGCAGGGGAAGAAGAAGAGGGGGAAGGTCAGACGTCTCTAGGGGATTCCAGCTGCTGCGGTGCCCCTGCCCATGTCTGCTAATCCCAAAACAGACCTAGTGCCCACCCTGGTGCCAGCGAGTGCCTCAGCCCTGCATGGAGGGGTCCCCCTCAGCCTGGCACAACAGTCCTGCTATGGCCCCTCATCACTTCAGATGAAGACTGCACAGCTGACTGTCCTGGCTCCATGGTGGAGACCAAGCTGGCCCCTGCTCCTGGCCTAGCTTCCCCTGTGGGCAAACAACAGCTGCGCCACCCAAGTGCGAAGCATCCCAGGTGGATGCACCTCCCGGCCTGGCCACGTGGGCCCAGGTACTCACTGGTGGTGGCTGGCTGCTTCCTGGTCCCGCTGGTCTGGGCCCGCTTGACAGAGGGGTGGTGGTGGGTCCTGAGGAGGAGCCCACAGAGGTGGGTACGGGCGCTTCACCCAGCTCAGCCATGAGAGACAGGTACTCCTTGTCCATGCGCGCCTTGTCCTGGGCCGACTGCGGGTCGCCAGGCCTGGGGGCAGACACACAAGAGGCCCTGGTCAGCACTACGGCAGGGGCAGATGGACCCTGTAGCGAGGTCATCTCAGAGCCACCCTCTCCGCAGCAGCGTTAGGGGAGGGTGCGACACACTGATGCCCACCCCCGCGCCCCCCAGGCCCAGCCTCACCTGGTGAACTTGCAGTCGGAGGCAATGTGCCCAGCTCCCCCGCACTTGGTGCACAAGGTGGTGTTGGTGATGCTACGGGTCTCGGCGCTCTGCCATGGCCGCAAAATCCTGCCAGGTGGATGGAGAGGAGGATGAGACTGGCGCAGCCCCCAAAGGACCCACCCCCGCTCTGTGCCCACCCAGCTGCCCAGGTCCTACCTGTTGTCGTCCTCTCGCAGGGTCCCATTGAGGCGGGCCAGCTCCCGCAGCTGCATCTTCCGCAAGTCGTTCTGGTCCTCGGGTGTCTCAATTCCCTGCTTCAGGATATTCCGGATCTGCCGAGGTGGGGAGGAAAGAGGGGGGTGAGATGCTGCTTCAGCAGGGGAAGCTACTGCCTGCGGTCCAGCTGCCCCATGGGGCGAGGGCAGGGCCAACTTCCTCCCTCCTTGGGGGCATCAGCAAGCTACAGTCCCCTTCCCCCACAACCCTGCACTCAGCCCCTTTACCTGCTCCACAGCTTTCTTCACATTCTCCATGGTGTTGGCAGTGACCAGGGCATGCAGGGGCTCATCCTCCCCAGGCAGCATTTGGCCGTCCTTGCGGCCCACCTTGCCCTCCTTCACGGACCCCTTGCCGCGAATCATGATCTTGGCGTTGCATTCCTTCTCGATGTTCTTCAGCGTGTTGCCTCTGCAAAACCAAGACTCCCATTAGAGGCCAGATCAGGGAACCAGTGCATCACCTGTTCTACCCATGGCAGGGTTGTGGCAGGGGGGAAGAAATGTCTCCTGTTAGGGTTGACAGCAGTTGCACAAAGGGGTTAGGTAATGGATGTCTCTGGGATGGTTCAGAAGGAATGACTGTGCCTCAGGGACTAGCAGGTCCCTTCCAGCCCCACTTCTCTAGGATTGCAAACCCCAATTCAGATGGTTGCCCCAGAAGCACCTCCTACCAGCTCTGACCCCCTTCCCACACCATGGTGCAACTCACCTGGGCCCAATCAGAAGCCCGACAAAGTTGATTTCGGGGTACTCGTCCTGTGGAATCATCACCTTATCGCTCACTCGGGTTGCCGGAGGCCTGAAGGATTAGGAAAACCTATGTCAGGATGGGTGTGGCCACGGTGCACAAGCTGAGAGGGAACCCTGGCTAACGAGGCAAGGACCCTCCCCTGATCTGGGATGAACCTAGCTTGGCGAGAACCCACCCAAGGGTACCACACGGAAACGTGGCCTGAAAAATCACTCGTGGGGTGCCCCAGCTGCATGCCACACTGCCCAGAAGGTCTTACTTGTAGTCAGCCGGGGGCTTGAAGTCTGGGTTGAGGGCCACCATCTCGGTGATGAGGTTGTGCCTCTCCTCCTCCAGCTTCTTGCGGGTGCGGAACTCGCGGGTGTTCAGCCGCTTCCCCTCGCTGTTGTAAATGGGCTCGGGGGAAGGGGACCTGCAGAACACAGGGGTGGTTACTCCTCGTGCCGCCCACCCCCGGGGACCACTTACAAGTACAGCTCCCCCTCCACCCTAGCCTCACTTAGGCAAGTCAGAGCTACGGGTGCAAGCCAAGGGAAGGAAGGGGCGAGTTTGCTCATTCCTGTCTCATCGCTATGGGGCCGGGAGATCACAGCAGAGCGCTGCCTGCTCCCAGGGGGGTGGGAATTGTGATGCTACGGAGGTTGCCAACAGATGTGGGGACAGCAGCTCTGCCATGAGAGTGCCCGCTGCGTCTCTGGGGGAGGAGATTAGTTTGCAGAGAACCAGCTTTCCGCCTTCACCAAGTTACAAGTTTACAGAGGCTCCTAGCGTGGGTTCAAGTAGACTTTTAACACCGTAGCAAGAGCAACAGGAGCGCTGAGGCTTTTATCAAAAGTGACTATCCCTGCTGGCAACACCAATTAAAGCTAGGGAAGAGCCCCAGCGTGAAGAGACGGTCCTGGCTGCTGTCCTGGCTTTTCCTTCACTGTGCTGGCAACTTCAAGGCCGGCTCTGGACCTGGGCTCTGCGTTTAAGGCTGGGTCAAACCGCCTTTGCTCGTTCCGCAGTCTGGACCTGTAAACCTTTGTGGGAAGCCCCGTTTCCTCCCCAGGTTTAGATGCCCAGAAAGCAGATGCTTTGGCTCGTTTGGATTTAAGAGCAAAGTGCCGTAACGCTAAAATAAAAACGTCAGTTTGATTTACCACAGCTGTATTTGCGGTAAGAAAAAAAAAAAAAAGATCACACTCCCAGAATTTTGGTTAGGTTATGGACCTCTTTAAAAACATGTTGAAGGAAAATTTAGGATTAGCTGCAAGAAGGGAAGAGATTATGTGGATCAGGTTATCAAAAAAATACATCCCGGAGGTAAATCAGAAACCTACACCCTTGTTTTAGGTTAAGAGAAACTTTGTCTAGCTGGTTAAAGCAAGGATTAATAAAATCAGTTGATCCCACTGTCTTCTCAGCCTAAAGTGAACTGTCAACACATGAAATAAAAGGTCAGGTTTGATCAGGACTAACCAGGTCTGGATTAAGACCCCGCTTCTAAGATTTGAATCAAGTGCAATGCAACCCAGTAGCAGACAGAACACACATGAACACCCCCCCCCCCCCCCCCCAATGAGATTTTGCCCTCCCAGCTGGGTTTTACTAACCAGCTTAAACTCGCGTTAGCTAGCAAGTGGTTTAGAAACACACGTTTAACACATTCAAGGAACACTGGAATATTCAAGTGGCTTAATTTTAAGATGACACCTTCACAAATTAACGCTAAAACCACGTCATGTCATGCAGTTTGGATTCGGTAGCGCTGCAGGAGAGCGATTAAGAGTGAAACCCTTCTGACACTTGAGCACAAACCCGGTGGAATGACTGTCTGGACCGCTAACGGCTCAGTATTTGGAAGGTCAGACCGCTCTGGCGCGGGTCTCTTTTGCTGACTTGATGGCTCAGTGTTAAAGGCTGTCATAACAATGCCTTGTCTTTAAAGAAAAAGGTTAAGACACCAATAACGCTCCCCCAGCATCCGGCTGGATTATCAGTCACATGTTAGAGAAGACCTAATCTGTCAGGTTAATTAAGACCAACTGTCCCATCTTCATCCCCCCCTCTCCATAAAACCAAGTGCAGGGGGAGGAAAAAAAAGGATTGTTTTAAAACCTAGTCCCTCTGGAGAATAAAAGGGTTAAGAGTCCTCTGGCAATCTCTGCCTAGTGACCTGCAATAATGGGTTAAATAAGGTAGCCGCTGAAACCCTACTGAGCCGTCCCGGCTGTGCAAGGGAGTGCAAACTCTATGCGCTAAGGGAAACCAGAGGATTCCTCTGAGGAAAGGACGCAAAAAACCCCCAAAACAGCTTGGGAGGTGAGCGGCTTTGCTAGCCGACCCACCCCCTGTACCCTCTGCTGGGTCGAAGGAGCCTTTTGAAAGAGTTATTTCAGGTGTGCCACATGCTGGAACGCAGCAGAAATTTCCAAGCTAGGAGAACAGGGATCAGGCCCCTGCTGTTCCACACTAACAAGCCAATTAAAAAACAAAGTGGTTAATTGCTGCTTCTCCCAGGGATGCAGCTCAAGCCAGGCAGACACCCAGTTGGCAAAAAATACAAATGAAAACCCTTCAACATCCCTGTTTGGAAAAGTGTACCCCACCCCCCACAAAACGGATGCCCCTGGAACCCACAGCTGGGCTGGGTCTATATAATGGCAGGCAGCTGAGACATTGATTAGAAAACTCTTCTGATTTCCAGGAAAAAAAAAATTCATTCATTCATTCTCTGCAGTATCAGCTGATCAGAGCATGCTTCCAAGCTACTCACTGGACCATGCCATTAAAAAGGTAAAATAAAATAGTCCTTAAAAAGATGCACCTGTGACAGGCCTGAGACCAGGTGTTAATTGGCTACCTTCACCCCTCCTTGGATAGTCAGGTTAATTGAACCTACGGGCTAAGGGAAGTCCTTTCCCCCTGGGGGTCTGGCAGGGCTCAGGCTAGTGCCGCTGCTTCCCTAACCCCAGCTCCCTGCCCCATCAGAGCACTGCAGCCGTCTGCCTAGCGCCGGATTGCATTCAACTGACACATTACGATGCCACCGAAAAAAGATGTATTAAAAAAAGGTAAAAGTGTTACTGTCAGCTGGTTACAACTGTTTCCCAACCTGTCCTCAGGGTTAGGGGGGATTCCCAGGTCTCCTGTGCGCAGTTTACGAGTCAGGTCTTCTATCTGCAGTTGCACTGGAAGAAACCAGGTTAGGAAAGAAAAAAGGATGGAAAAAAGACAATGTTACCAAAAAACAAATCGCAACTCTCAACATCAAAGCATGAAGAACGGGGAGACTTTGCAAAGGGATGACTGACATACGCCCAGACCAGAGGAGACCCCGCCGCGTTATGCCAGCCAGCCAAATTCAGTGGGGAATCCACAGCGGTCGTATTTACATCTAGCCAGTCTTCTTCCAAGAGGGTTGTTCGTTAGGAGGCAAAGCACTCGTTTGGGAAGGGGTTAGCAGGCTCCAAGAGATGAGCCAGGCCCATTCTGGAAGCAGATCCAGGGCGTGTGGCAGATGCTGTGGCAATTTCAGGGCTCCCCCCGCTGTTTTGGGGGTCTCTATCAAAGTCTCACTACTGATTTTGGAGCCAATTACAAATGCACCTTGGCTGAGGCTGCCCACGTCACGATAGCAGACGTCTGGCCTCCTGCAAGGAGGCAGCAACTCACGGATGGTGCTGTGTGCCTGTGCAGGGTCTGGTAATTAAGGCAACACTTTAGGGCAAAGGAACAGTGATGGCTGGGGGGGGAAGCCGCACATGCTGCACTGTGCTGGCGGCTCCGGCCTACATCTGGCCCCCACAAGTGCTCGGCAGGTTTCAGGGGTGGCGAGGCGCACACACTCAGAGCAGACATGACACCCGAGCAGCTGAGTAGGGCTTGGTTGACCACGGAAAGATTGGGGTCCTCGAGCCCCCACTGCTGTGACGTGGCTGATTTCAGGGGAGGACGTGCGGGGGGCAGGTGCTCATCCTCTCACCAACCCTGCAGAAGGCACTGGTGTGTTGTGCACACTTCTTTCCTTTGCACAGACTGAGAACTTGGAGCAGCAGTGACCTCTCCTGACCACCGACTGGGCTGGTTGACTTTTGGGGCTGCCTGGAGCTGGCCTTGGGAGCAGAGGAACCTCGCTCTGTGGGAGATGCCCTGCGCATGGGGAACTAGGACACTCCCCATCCTCAGCAGCCTTCTCAAGGCCGCTGCTCTACAAACAGCCCTGGCTTCTCTCATGACCCTGTGCCTTGAGTTACCTCTCTACCTCAAGCCCCCTGGGATAAGGCGCAAACACTGGTGACGCTGCTGTGACAGCAGTTGCATCCTGTGGAGTGGGAGCTGAAACTGCACGGCTCCTTTTCTTTTCCTCCTTGACCACGGATGGCATTAGTGCAAAGCAACTTTCCTGACTAACCTCTGCTGTAGGAGCAGACCCCTTGCCATCCTTTTTTTTTTTTTTTTTTTTTTTTGTATTATAGCACTTAGTCAAACTCAGTTTAAATTTCTGCTTTGGGATCACTTTAGGGCAGAGATAAAAAAGAGCAAAGCAGAAAGGTCCTGTTTTGACCAGGGGGTTGAACTAGATGCCCTGCTGAGGTCTCTTCCAACCCTTGTTTTCTATTAAATCAGTCTAAAATGGACTGGAAACCTGTCCATTCAGACTCTCAGCCAGCTCACAGCACAGCTGAACTGACAAGGCCAGGTCCAAAGCGTGTCAAAGCTCTCAGCATCTGTGCAAAAGGAAGAAGTGGCGGCTTGCGCTTGACCCTAACGGAGCAGGATCTCACTGTCTTGGGAAGAAGAGCTCGCTGTATGTAAAGCGCCAGCGGCCATGCAAAGTCTCGGGCATGTTAGAGTTTTTGCCCATTTCTCACTCTCCTGGCTTACATTTGGACACGTCAATATAGCATCACTGCTCGCAATGGAAGGCAAAGTTAACGTTAAACCTTGTGTTTAAGAGCCGAGTCGCTGACACATCATTCTTACCCCCAACGGCAAAAATCAGAACATTTGACACTTCCCTGGTTTCAGTTACCGTTCCAAACCCGTGTCCCAGCCGTCTCCCCTTCCCAGCTGTCTGCCAGCAGATACAGAGCTCAGACTACAGGGAGCTCCAACCACAAGACAAGTTGAAGGTTTAATTGTTTTTCTTTTTTTAGTTTTTTTTGCCAAAAACATATAAAAGGTGGAAGCAAACCATCTCATTTTCCTTCCGGAAGCAAAACCACCTTGACCTTTGCCACCTTGAGCACATAGCATTTTAACGACTAGACTCTAAGCTTTGTAACAATTAAGCAAGCTAAAACGCAAGTCAGATCGAGGCTGGGTGTGAAAGGGTTTCTGTGCAAGGCTGTGCTGTGAACGGAGGTACTTGCTTCCACATACCACATTTGGTTCGGAGGCAGGGTTCTCCACAGGGATCGCAGCCAGGCAATTACTTGCTGCCGCTAATTAGGCGGCGACAAATTAATCCCCATGGGACCCCCCCTCACGCACAACACCCATTTCCAACCGCACCAGTGGAGAACGCTGCTCCGGCCCCAGCGAGCGGGGAGCTGCGATGGTGCGCGACTGAGCAGAAACATGAGCGTTATCGTGTCTAAGGAACATGGTCACAATAACCTGAAGTCTAGAAGAAACACAGTTAAATGGCCCAGACGCTCCACAGCCAGCAACAGCCCCGGGATGGGCACTGCCAGGACATTGGCGGGAGGAAGAGAACGTGGATTTACCTATGTAAGCTCGCTCCTGCTCCCGGGTGAGGCCAGGAGGGATGACTGTGGGCATGCCCGGGATGACCGTCTTCTGCTCCAGGGAGTCCTGGTTCCATCTGCTCCTCTTCCGCTTCTTCGGGAAATCTGAGGACAAGCACCTTTCTTTAGGGGAGCTTGCACGTGTCTCACTGAACACGTGCATCTTGCAAAGCCCAGGGGACGCCAGCTGCCACCCAGGGCAAACACGCACTCCTCCTTCCCCAAGCTAGACCCAGTCTCTGGTCTGGATACTGAGAGCAGTTACAGCAAGGCAGCAAAGATACTGGACTGACATCCTAGTCCCCAGCCAGCCCTAACAAGCGCAATAACTCAAAAGTGTTGCGTCGTCCCCACAATAGTTTTGGTTCCTCACTTTGGTCATATGTGAAATGGCAGCCTGTCAGCCCTCGTACCAGGCCTCCAGGCACCACTGTGACAAGGATGGGCAGGGAGAGCAGCATTTCACCAGCAAAAAAAAAAACAAAAAAAAAACAACACTTTGCTCCCTGGAGGCTTTTATCTACTGCCAATCAGCACACGCCCGAGCTGGCTGCTCAGGGGCGCTGGGCTGCCAACACAGGAGGGGAATATGAAGCCCTCCGGAGAGCGGTGCACAGAGACACTCCGCTTCCTGTTTCCGTGCACAGTGTGGACATAATGCAGCTCTGAGCTCCGCCGGCGACATGGCTGCCTCCCGCAGCACTGGGGCATAATTAATCTCCCCGCTGCACAGCCCCTTAAGGAGATCTTATGCCGAGCCCGCTGATGCCGGATGACGCCATTGGAAGCTCTGGCCATCCCACAGCAGCTTTCCCCCTCAGACTAACGCGGGAACAGCGGCTGTTTATGAGGAGGCCGTCTCTGCTCCTGCCTCGCTTCCGCGCCAAGTACAGCCGCACGGAGAGGATCCGTCTTTGCTAACAAACTGGCTAGGAGCATGGCTAGCAAAGCTGGGGAGAGGAAGATGAGGCCGACAGAGCCTTCCTGCTCCATTTCCTCCCCCTCCTACTCAGGCCTCCATTTTGGTGGCTGATTCCCCTGCTAATGTTCAAGCAGCAGGCCTGGCCTCTACCAAGGCCAGCGCCCAGAATCACCCCGGGGCTGAACTGTGCGCGGCAGAATCCCAAGGACCCCATTTGGGGGGCATGTGGAGGAGCCCCCTCCCCACAGGCACTTTCACTGTCCAACCCCCTTCCCATCTGCTCCTTGCCCTTGGACAGGCGCCGTCTCTGCCCCACAGCCACCTCCCAAAACTAAGCTCAACTCCCCCACTCCTTACAGTCACCTCCCTACTCCCCCCCCACCTAATGCCTTTGGTCACCCCATCCCTCCCCTCCAGACTTCCCCCCTAATTTTGGCACTGAAATTTCATGCCCCCAAACCTGCAGCCACCCCCTTTATCAGCCTCCATACCACGCTAACGCTGCCTGCAGCGAGCACCCCTAGCTCCGTGTCCCCCAGGTGCCTCTCCCAGCCCTCTCCCCACAGCCGAGAAAACCCCGTCACCCTCTGCTCTTAGCACTGCACCTGCCCCACAGCTCTAGTCCACGTCACCTGGACCCCCTCCATGAGGCACACACTGCTGCCCTGCACCCCGGATGAGGACAGACTCCCTGGGCATCAATTAAACCAGCTACCAGCTTCTCTGGCCCTGACAGGCCCTCACCCATGACCCCCACAACACCCAAGCCCATGTACATGCCCCCCACAAACACCTCCTGTGACTCAGTTCACACCTGTGTGACCATTTGTTAATCCATGTAAGAACTGACCAACTCCCCAGCAGGCCCCAAGGGACCATCCACCACCCAACAGGACCCTGAATCCCACCCCCCTAAGCCCCCATGATCTCCAGCACTTGTGAGACTTGGAGGCAGACTGAAAAGCCAGACCCCAGCGTGCCACTCTGGGCCCCGTCTGTAGCTCTGGTTCTGCCCCCCACGTGCTTACACCAACGTTCCCCTAAGAGCAGACACAGCCCCCACCTGCACTTGATCCCCACTGCTCCATGGACCCCACTCATATGTGGACCTCTTACTTGCCTGTGATACTCTATGTCCCCCCATGCACCTGACCCTACCAACTTCCCCCACAGCTGCTCATGGGATGCCCTCCACACACTCCTATGCCCTCCATGACTGCCCCCATGCACCTAACCCCACCAACTTCCCCCACAGCTGCTCATGGGATGCCCTCCACACACTCCTATGCCCTCCATGACTGCCCGCATGTGCCTCTACCC